GATCCCAGGACCCTGGGATCATGACCTGACCCGAAGGCAGAGGCTTAACGACTGAGCCACCCAGGCGCCCTGGGTTAGATTATCTTTAAGCTCTCATCAATCCTGGAACTTTTTTTTTTTTTATTGAAGTATAGTTGACACATAATGTTACATTAGTTTCAGATGTACAAAACAGTGATTGAAGCACAGCTACTGTCTGTCACCATGCAACCCTATTATAGTATCATTGATTATATTCCCTATGCTGTACTTTTCATCCCCATGACTTACACATTCTATAACTGTAAGGCTGTACCTCCCACTCCCTTTCACCCATTTTGCCCTCATCAGGCAAATTTTATGAAATCTACCAGACTTTTTTTTTTTTTTAAAGATTTCATTTATTTATTCTTAAAAAATATATAGAGAGAGGCAGAAGCAGAGGAAGAAGCAGGGAGCCTGATGCGGGACTCCATCCCAGGAACCCCAGATCATGACCTGAGCCAAAGGCAGACGCTTAACGGACTGAGCCACTCAGGCACCCCCAGATTTGTGCAACCAAGATATTAGAGTCATGAGTATCTGCTGTTATCTGTTCTTCAACAGCAGATACAGCAGTTGAAATTGTATCTCCTCACCTTGTTAACATTCAAAAAATAATGTAAAGCTACCAGTATAAAATTTATTCTCTTATCATGAGGATTAAGTGAGCTTTGTTTGTTGACATACTGTTATAACAAAGATTTTTCTTTAAATAATCACTAGAAAGTAAGAAAAGATTTTAAAAACCACACATTAAATACAGTTTTTATTCTGACTTTTTTCAAAAGGAGTAGAAAACACTGACAAGATCACCACTTTGAAGAGCACTTTCAAAATATAAGTTTTCTTGCAAAACAAAGTTCTTTTTTGGTAGACGAATTCAGAGGAAACTACCCAGAAACATGTTACCATCTAAAGCTCTAGATTAATTATGAAACGGTGGGTGCGGAGCATGATTTAACAGGTGATGTGGACTGATGTGCCACGCTTTTATTTGCTAACAAAACTACTCTTAACTCACTGCTATGGAAAGCCTTATACCTATTAATTTAGCTACAAAGTTAACTTGTGTGGCCAAAACTCCCTTAACTATTAATCAGCAGATATTAATGGCAATAACTATGTTATGCATTATACGGTTTTCCTGGGTTGGAGATGCTCCTTGTCCCCATCGTCGAAGGATTTCATATTGATTTGGCCTTAAGTGAAGCAGGCTATCGCCTTTTCACAGATGAAAAGACTCATGACTGACTTGACACCGGAAAACAGGGGTACTAAGAAGGAGGCAGGTAACCACTGACTGAAATCCATTTTGTTCACTTCTACACAAAGCTAATTCCATGAAAAGTGCAAAGTGAAGGCTCGATAAATTAAAACGAGGCTTAAATAACTACCCGCAAAGATGGAGAAGATCTATTTCCCCAAAATTCTGGCGTTCTTCCCCGCCGCCCCCGGTTCCGGAGGCTTCTGGAGACACTATGCCATCAGGCCCGCCGAGTCACATAAGCCTATCCGTCACCAGACTGAACCGGGGACAATCACTTACCGCGAGCTCAGCGAGCTACGCCGGCCGACCGGCGAAAAGAGCACCGGGGAGCTGACTGCCGACGCCAAGGACAGACCTTTCCTGCTAGTCGCCCGGGGCGTGGAGCCCGGCCCGACTCCGCCCAGCGGGCCCCTTCGGGTCCCAGGCCCCGGTGTCCGCGGAGAGGAGACGGCCGGGAACATGACGGAACGCAGAAGCGACACAGGGCGCGCGGATTCCGCCCGTGGGGCTGAAGCGCGGCTCGCGCGCGGAGCTTGAACACCCAGACGCGGGAGAGCGCGCTGTGATGGCGTAAAAGCACAGCGCCGAGCGGCGGGCTTTGTTGGGGAGGCGGGGGAGGGCGAGCGATCAGACGTAAAAGCGCAGCGCCGAGGCGCGGGGTGTGGTCGGAACGGTGTGTGTAGGGTGGCGGGGGAGGGCGCGCGGTAATGACGTCAGAGTGCTGCCTCCAGCCGCGGGATTTGGTCGTAGAGGGTGCCAGTGGAGAGTTTTAGGGGGTTGGCGGGTGTCCGGAACCTCAGGAAAGTGAAACTGGAGAGACAGGCGCCTTTCTCGACTGGCCCTCTAGCAGCCTGAACGCAGAGCCTCTCTTTGCGTGGTCTTTCCTGAGCCTCTTGGGAACTGGGAAGTATCGGTTCCCTGGTCCACGCTGAGGAGGGAGAAAATCGGAAAAGCTGCCAGTGGTTTCACACTCTGTTATATTTGTTCTTCTCTACATTTGTCATTCCCCACTCCACACTGTCTCATCCACGCTAGGGAACGCTAGTGACGCCACAAGTCCACATCTTTATCCCAGATCTTGCTCAAAAACTGTAGGCTCTAAACAGCTCCCTAGTGGACACCTCGACCTGCATGTCCTTCAGACTCCTGACGATCCACGTGTTAAAAACTGAATTCTTGTTTTCCTTTGGGACGGACCCCTGTCCTACCACCTCTTGCCCCACTTGGTAAAACTAGCCAATTACCCCAGTCAAAAAGAAGAGCTCTATCCTGGAGTCATTCTTCACACTTAACCGCCACTGCAACATCCTGGTACACTGTAGCTCCTGAATGCAGTCCATGGATGTCAGCCTCCTGCAGTGGAGACCGGAGACCGCAGCGCGTGGAACAGTATCAGGACCTATGCCTTGGGGGCAGCCCAAGTACTTCTTTATCACTACCCAGGGTTCTACATTTTCCTAGTGGCTGCCATTTCCTTAAAAAAAAAAAAAAAATCATTTCCTTGTTTATCCTTTGACCTCATTTTAAATAATATAGTCCCTTATACGGGACATCTAGAAGAAGGGATAGTGTAGTGCAGTGGCTCTCACACTCGAACATGTATCATCACCAGGAGGGCTTGTTAAACTGCGTTGCTGCCCATCCACAGTGTCTGAGAATTTGCATTTCTAACAAGTTTCTAGGTGTTGGTGATGCTGCCGTCCGGGGACATTTTGATAACTACTGGCGTTAGTAATTGAGTGTATAGACTCTGGAATTAAGTGGGACTTGGTTCAAATCTCACCTCTGCTATTTACTATCTGTGTCATCTTTTTGAGCCTCTATTAAATTACTAATAGTACTCACTTGTGAGAATTAGATAATATAGATGTGACTGTATTTGTGGATGTCAAAAAACATAGAATGAAGGCAAACAAACTGAAGAAAAACAGTATTTCCAATAAAATAGTACTCTTTAAGGAAAATCAGTAAGAGAAAGCAAGCTACCCCAATAGAAAAAAATGGAAATGCATGAAGGGCATGAACTAGCATTAAGTCAAAGACTAGAAATGACCAAAAACACATGAAAAGATCTTCAACGTCACTAATAGTTAAAGAAATGCAAATCAAACCACCTATCAGTATTGTTTGCCTGTTGGATTAGCTGGAAAGTTATAAAAAATGAAAATAGTTCATGTTGAAAGGCTGTGGAGAAATAGGTGCTGATGTATATACTTCTGGCGAGATTTTTATAAATTAGTACAGTCTTTTAAGAGGATAATCTATCAAAAAGCCTTATAACTTGTATATGCTCTTTAAAGGTGGCAATTCACTTTTAGAATTTATCTGAAAAAATCATAATAAATAGTATTGTTTATAATAGCAAAGAATATAGAAAGATGTCCAATGATAGATTTATAGTATATTCACATTATAAAATTGTATATGGTTAAAAAGAATACATGTAGCTGTGTGTAATGAATACTTAAGGATATAGGAAAATATTGTAAAATTTTAAAAAGCAGGTTGGTCACAAAACAGTATGTCCACTATGAGCCCATTTTTTATTGAAATAAAAAAATGTCTCATAGACACATGTATACATGTGAGAAGCTCAACTTGAACATGTGCCTCCCTTCTATATACCCTTCCTAAAGTACTGCCTTTCAGTTAAGACCAAACTTTGATTTCTGTGGTACTAATCACTGCAATCGACAATGGGATAGTAGCCAGAATTATTTCCTGCAGCTGTGGTAGAATTGTTAGAATTCCACTATCACCAACATATTAACGGTGATATTATTAAAATGGAAAGGCAGGGAAACAATAAAGAACTCATCATGGAAATTATCCATGCCCAATCATTTTCAAGGCATTCATTTAATTGCCTCTAATGGCAATGGAACTTTTTGAGATAACTCTAAATTTCATTGTAGTTTAAAAGTCCTCCAAGCAGGGAAGAATGCATATCGTTTTCACTAGTTCTGTGGTCAGCAAACTGTCAAGGGGCAGAGAATATCTCTAGCTTGCAGGCTGTAGTCTGTTGCAACTGCTCATGAATGAGTGTGGCTATGTTCCAATAAAACTCTATGTATGGACACTGGAATTTGAATTTCATGTAACTTTGATGTGTTATGAAATATTTTCCTTTTGGTTTTTAAAAATCATTTAAAACTGTAAAAACTGAGGCACCTGGGTGGCTCAGTCAGTTAGGCATTTGACTCATGGTTTTGGCTCAGGTCAGGATCTCAAGGTCGTGGGATCAAACCCCAAGTCAGGCTCCACACTCAGTGTAGTCTGCTTGGGATTCTCTCCCTTTCCCTCTACCGTTCCCCCAGCTTGTGCACTCTTTCTCTCTCTCACTAAATGAAGAAAATCTTTAAAAACAAACAAACAAAACTGTAAAAACCATCCTTAGCTTACAGGCCATACAGATCAGGCAACTGGTCACAGTTTGCTGACCCATGGGCTAGTTTCATGAGGGAGGCACAGGTCCTTTGTTGGCATAGGACCTAACAAAATAAAAGAGGATGCTCAATGTTTTTTGAATGAGTTGAATGAATAGAGATTGCCATGATGCCTTAGACGTAAAAATCATGTAAAACATCCCCAGAGGAACATTTACAATGTAGTTCTCACATACTTCTTTCATTAATATACTTAATGTTTTGTAACATTTACAATTATTTTCATTTATTTTCTAACAGCTTTGGCATTTTTTATGAAATAAAATTAATTTTCCAAAATAGAGCCTTAGCTTATAAAAATGTACTGACAAGGGTTTAGCCTATAATGGTTTATTTAGCTTATGATTATTTCCTGAGAACCAGTCAGGTCCAGGGTCAGAGAAGGCCTTGCACATAGAGATGAGCCTGGGAGGGTGGGCAACAAAACACTAAGCTCATTAACATGAAATTTTATCTTCACAGGTAGAATTTCTGGTGATTAAATTTTTCTTTTTTGCTTATTTTCTAAATTGCTTATATGAACATACATCCTTCAATGGCTCTCCATGCATGTAGGATGAAAGCTAAGATTTTCAGCATGATATTGAAGGTCCTCCATGGTCTGGCTCCCATTTCGTGAATATCTCCTTGTATAAAGCATCAATGCTGAATTAATTTACAACTTGCCTATTCTTTTTTTTTATTAAGATTTTTATTTATTTATTATTTGACAGAGAGAGAGACAGTGAGAGAGGGAACACAAGCAGGGGGAGTGGGAGAGGGAGAAGCAGACTCCCTGCTGAGCAGGGAGCCCGATGTGGGACTCGATCTCGGGACTCCAGGATCATAACCCAAGCCGAAGGCAGTCGCCCAACCAACTGAGCCACCCAGGCGCCCTATAGCTACATTCTTTATATATATGTGTGTATATGTGTGTCTATATATATAAAAAATTACCACATAAAAAAAGATTCATTCTCATCAAAAATGCTCTCGAGTAATTCAAGAATCATAAATATCCAAAACAAGAAATCCATTTAACTTTGATAACCACATTTAGAAATGTATCTGAAGGCAAAAAGTGTATTTTGGACTTAGGTTTAATATCTTTTAATATTGGTTATAAACAGGTATCTTACTTTCTATAATATTTAGTAACATTTGTAATTTTATTTTGATACAGCAACAGAAATAATAATCTCTCCCATTAAATATATTAAAAATTTCAAGGAAAAACTGTTCCTTCAAAAGAATGTGATTTTCGAATACTTTCTTTAAAAGTATGATAAATCACTTCACTATATGGAGACATCAAGGGTTACATTCCATATTTTTTAAAGAGGTATTTAAAGAGTTATTTATTTATTTTAGAAAGAGAGAGAGAGAGCACGAGGGAGAGGCAGAGGGAGGAGAGGAAGAGAATCTTAAGCAGACTCCTCACTAAGCGCAGAGTTCCACACAGTGCTCAATCCCACGACCTGAGCTAAAACCAAGAGTCGGCCGCTTAACCGACTGAGCCACCTGGACACCACATAGGTTACATCCCATATTAACTGACAAAACTAAATTAGTATATTGCTGTCGTAAGCATTGGTAGTAAACCTCAGTGTGTTAGCCCTAGAAATTTAATTAATTTGAGCTCTGCCTGCCTAAAGAAGGGCAAGATAAAAGGTATCAATAATGTACAAGCTAAAATACTAAATCGTGCCTAGGCTAAGTGTGGGCTTTTTGCTGAATGAGCATATCTGCTCAATATTTTCTTTTCCTGAAAGCAATAAAGCAGCTCCAAATACTCTACTGGTAAGCCCTTGAGGTCTCTGACTTAACACACAGCACTTGGTAGGTTTCCATATAGGGAAAAGTTCTTTCAGTTTACACACCCCTCAGTTTAAACATCCTAATTTCTAGGGACTCTCTCCTCTGATGCTGTGTACTATTTGTTATTAAAAGTCTGGTGGGGGCGCCTGGGTGGCTTAGTCGTTAAGCGTCTGCCTTCGGCTCAGGTCATGATCCCAGGGTCCTGGGATCGAG